CAAAATAAACAGCCCAACCTGCAAATTACAAATTGGGGATACCATCATCAAACAAGTAAAGAAAATTAAATATCTGTGAAGAGTTTTAACAGTGGAGGGAAAGTGCGATATCGAAATCCGAAAGCGAATTGGGATTGCGAAAGAAGCCTTCCTGAAGCTAAGCAAAGTATTAAAAAACAGGAAAATTTCGTTAGAAACAAACAAGAGTACTGAACTGTTACTTGATATCAGTATCTACTATACGGCAATGAATGCAGGACAATCTCCTCACAGATGAAGACGAGACGTGAAGGAACAGAAATGTGGTTCTACAGAAGGATGCTGAGAATAAGGGCACTTATAGTTAACATCAGAAAGAGTCAGTTGAAATTTCTAGGACACGTAATAAGGAAATACGGCTCGGAAAATTTGATACTCACGGGAAAAACTGAAAGCAAGAGGGATAGATGCAAACAATGCATAACCTTAGAGAGCTTGCGTAAATTAATGGCAGAGCAAAAGCTATTAAAACCTACAAAAGTCAGGAAATTGTGGAAACTGGAGATCGCCAATATCCTGAATGGACACGGCACATGCATGAAGGAGAACAGGCATACACACTCATAAAATTCTCAGAGCCGAGCACTAATTACCATTTTATAAATCAATATATAAAACCATTTTTTAAAATGAAAATTATCTTTAAATAAATAAACATTCATAAAATTTAATATGCTGAACAGTTATGAATATTTGCATAACAAAATTTACCTATATTTTAAAAAATTCAGAAAACATACCAATAATGACTATTTTACAAATCAAAATTTAAAAATGTTTTTTTTTTAAATATATTTCAAAATTACACAGAATATTCTAGTGTGTGAAATCGCTGGTTTGTGAATTTGGTGACATAGTGATTGTGAGTTCAATCGCTGAGTTGGATAGTCCGTATTTGCTTTCAGTGGAAACAGGTGAACAATAAGTGAGCAGTACTAAATAAAATAAGAATATTTAGTAGTGGAACGAGAACAGGCTACCCCTAGAGTGTAAACAGAACAGGCTACCTCTAGAGTGGAAATAGAACAGGCTACCCCTCGAGTAAATAGAACAGGCTACCTCTAGAGTGTAAATAGAACAGACTACATCTAGAGTGGAAATAGAACAGGCTACCCCTCGAGTGGAAATGGAACAGGCGATCTCTAGAATTCAAATAGAACATGCTACCTCTAGAGTGAAAGAACAGGCTACCCTAGAGGGAAATAGAACAGGCTACCCCTAGAGTGGAAATAGAACAGGCTCTATCTAGAGTGGAAATAGAACAGGCTATCTAGAGTGGAAATAGAACTCTACCCTAGAGGAAATAGAACAGTCTATAGATAGAGTGTAAATAGAACAGTCCACCCCTAGAGGAAATAGAACAATGGAAATAGAACAGTCTGGAAACCCCTAGAGTGGAAATAGAACAGTCTTCCCCTAGAGGAAATAGAACCTCCCTAGAGTGGAAATAGAACAGGCTACCCCAGAGTGGAAATAGAACAGTCTACCCCAGAGGGAAATAGAACAGGCTACCTCTAGAGTGGAAATAGAACAGGCTACCCACCTTTAGAGTGGAAAATAGAACAGGCTACCCCTAGAGTGGAAATAGAACAGGCTACCCCTAGAGTGAAATAGAACAGGCTACCCCTAGAGTGGAAATAGCCCCTAGGTGGAAATAGAACAGGCTACCCCTAGAGTGGAAATAGAACAGGCTAGAACCCCTCACAGGAAATAGCCTCAGAGTGGAAATAGAACAGGCTACCCCTAGAGAAAAGGAAATGGAAAGAACAGGCTACCCCTAGAGTGGAAATAGAACAGGCTACCCCTATAGAGGAAATAGAACAGGCTACCCTAGAGTGGAAATAGAACAGGCTACCCCTAGAGTGGAAACAGAACAGGCTACCTCAGTGGAAATAGAACAGGCTACCCCTAGAGTGGAAATACAGGCTATTCTAGAGTGGAAATAGAACAGGCTACCCCTAGAGTGGAAATAGAACAGGCTACCCCTAGAGTGGAAATAGAACAGGCTACCCCTAGAGTGGAAATAGAACAGTCTACCCCTAGAGTGGAAATAGAACAGGCTACCCCTAGAGTGGAAATAGAACAGGCTACCCCTAGAGTGGAAATAGAACAGGCTACCCCTAGAGTGGAAATAGAACAGGCTACCCCTAGAGTGGAAATAGAACAGGCTACCCCTAGAGTGGAAATAGAACAGGCTATCTCTAGAGTGGAAATAGAACAGTCTACCCCTAGAGTGGAAAAGAACAGGAACAGGCTACCCCTAGAGGAAATAGAACAGGCTACCCCAGAGTGGAAAATAGAACAGCTACCTCTAGAGTGGAAATAGAACAGGCTACCCCTAGAGTGGAAATAGAAAAAGTTCTACCCCTAGAGTGGAAATAGAACAGGCATTCTAGAGGAAATAGAACAGGCACCCCTAGAGTGGAAATAGAACAGGCTACCCCTAGAGTGGAAATAGAACAGAGTGGAAATAGAACAGTCTACCCCTAGAGAGGAAATAGAACAGGCTACCCCTAGGTGGAAGCCAGAACAGGCTACCCCTAGTGGAAATAGAACAGGCTACCCCTAGAACAGAACAGGCTAAGGTGGAAATGAACAGGCTACCCCTAGAGTGGGAAATAGAACAGGCTACCCTAGAGTGGAAATAGAGAACAGGCTACCCCTAGAGTGGACTCAGAACAGTCTATCTTAAATCTACCCCTAGGAGTGGAAATAGAACAGGCTACCCTAGATGGTTTTCCCTCGAGAAAAGAAAGCCACCCCAGAGTGGGAAAGGGAAGAACAGGCTATAACAAATATGGAAATAGAACAGGAAACCCCAGAGGAAATAGAAAGATACCCAAAGAGCGGAAAAAGATCATATAAAGGAAATTCAAGTTTATTATGAGTTAAGTATTGAATTGAAAAAGAAAAAATAGAACAGGAAAAAAAATTAGTTATAAGTGTTGCTGAAAAAAAGCCTGACTTAATTTTTCACAATCTATCTAAATGAAAAAACACGACAAACAATGAGGATTAAATGACTAAACATTGAAAAGCCAAAGAAAAGCATTTAGGAAAACTTTTTAATCTGCAAAGGAAACTTTCATTTAGTACAAAAAAATTTTGAGCCAAATTTCTAGGTTTTTTATTTGGATGTAAAGAAAAAATATGTGGCAAAGATTTAATAAAAAAATAAAAATTTCTTAAACATCTTAAAATGAAATCAAAGAGAAAATAAAGAAAACAAAATAGAAAAGACAGGATTAATCAAATAACTAGCTGAAACCGAATGCTGATAAGCAAAATGGAAAAAGCCTCTGTGCCGGAAAATAAAAAAGAATTTTGGCTAATAAAATAAAAAAAAGTATAAATCTACGTCAAATTCTCTCTCTCTCTAGGAACGAACTGCCCTGAAGAACCAAAAAAAGGGACCAGGACTTTCCAGCAAAGAAGGGGGCGAGAAAGTACAACAGTTTGACGCCGCAACTGAAGTATATTTCCAAGATGGAAACTGAAGACTGAGGTTTGGCTCAGAAAAAAAATCAATTACCGAAAATTAAACTGAGAATTCCAAGGTCTGACTAGGAACTAAGTTATTAGCGACAAATAAAAAAAAAACGTATTTTGTTTATTTTTGTTCTTTCGTTTTATTTTGAGTTAAATAAAGGAATTTATTTCCTCAAAGATCATAAAAAAAGCCTTTTATCTCTGTTCTTTTTAAAAGAAAAAACCTATTCTGATACTTCTTAACTAGGTGAAAAAACTGGAACAATACTTGTATTAAAAGGAAGGGTTAAAAAATACGACATTGTTTCATTGTAGATCAAGCGTAAAGGGTGGACGAATCAATAAGACAAACATTAAACTATTTTAAAGAAAACTACAATCAGGTGAAATTTAATTAATAAAGTTTTAAGCCACAATATATAAAAATAAGAATATATGTATGCAAATGATTCTTGTTTTATTCAGAATCAGATGACAGTGTGATAGAAAAACCATTATTAGGACATAAACCTTTTCAGAAAACGGCAAAAGAATGACTAGTCAAAGTAAATATATTTTCGTAGATATATATTTTTCTTTATATATATATATATAGGAGATAATATTTATGTTTATAGTTAGGAAAATGGAAGTTAGTGACGAGGTAATACAGTGCTTCCACATCATTGTCAATAGGAACTAGTAACTTAAAAATGGAATTGGTAACGAAATAAGTGGATTTTTGGGACTTCTCATGAAGAGACATGGCAAACCCAAAAGAACATTTGTTTATGATTTTTTTTTTATTGGATACATCAAAAGAAAAGATGGGGATAGAAAGAAATTCTGGTCAAATTAATGCAGAGAGAGTTCCCAAATTAACTTTCATTTGGAAGACCATGGCATTTGTTCTATAAAACAGTGAAGAGATAGATTAAAAGAACTGAGGATACATACATTAAAAAGACTGGGATAATTCCAAAGATGATTTAGAGAGGCAGGAAAGATGACATATTTGCGACAAAATGAAGAATAGATAAAAGGATACAACATTGAGACATAGATGGATGAGTTTCTTTGAGACATTCAACAAAAATAAAAAAAACATAAAAGACATAGATTAGAAGATAATGTGGATTACATTACATTAGAAAAAGACTGGGATAAATTTTAGAATATGGGAAAGATTACCAGAGATAGATGAAACAGTTTTTAGACTGAGACATTTAAAAAAGCTATTTAATGACAAAACAGAACAGATGAAGAATGATAAGAAAATGTGGAAATAGAAAGAAATTAAAAAGATAAGACATTCAAGTTACATAAATGTTTTTTATGAAGATAGATTAGAAAAACGCAACATTGAAAAAAGACTGGGATAGATGGGAAGAATTATGGAAAGATCTAGCAGAACAGAACAGTGGATAACTGAGACATATGTTAAAAATGTGGAAATAGAACAGATTAAAGTGAAGTTGTGAAAAAAGAAAAGACTATAATACATGGGACATATTTGGTCCGCGGAGTAATGCAGAGAAAAGAAACATGGATAAGGAGACAAATGGAAGAGACATGGCATGTGGAAATAGAACAGATGAAGAGATAGATAAAGAGATGTGGATACATAGATTAGAAAAGACTGGGATAGATGGGAAGAAATTATGGGAAAGATGAAATGCAGAGGGCAGGGCATGGATTGAAAGTGGAGAACTGGGAAATAGAACAGATGAAGAGACAATATGTGGAATCATTAGAAAAGATCAGGATAGCCAATAGAATTTGGGAAAAGATAGAATTAAAAGAGGATGGAACATGGATTTTTTGAGACCATGGAAGAAGATGGATGTGGAAAGAACAAATGAAGAGATAGATTAAAAAATGGGATAGAACAGAATTAGAAAGAATGAATTAAATATGCTAAAAAAAATTAGAGACAGAAACAGTGGATAACTGAGACATATGGATAGATGAACATGGCATGTGAGATAGAATAGATGAAGAGATAGATTAAAAAAAGAGATTGGATACAGAGAAATTAGAAAAGATCAAATAGATGGAAGAGACAATTATGGGAAAGAAATAATGCAGAGACTAAGAACATGTGGATAACTGAAGACATATGGAAGAGAAATAGCATGTGGAAAAAGAACAGATGAAGAGATAGATTAAGAAGAGATCTAATGGATACATACATCAAGAAAAGACTGGGATAGATGGGAAAGAATTATGGGAAAGATGTAAAAAAGAGACCAGAGAAACAGTGGATAACTGAGACATCTGGAAGAGACATGGCATGTGGAAATAGAACAGATGAAGAGATAGATTAGAAGAGATGTGGATACATACATTAGAAAAGACTGGGATAGATGGAAGAGAATTATGGGAAAGATGTAATGCAGAGATGGCAGAGAGGCAAAACAGTGGATAACTGAGACATATGGAAGAGACATGGCATGTGGAAATAGAACAGATGAAGAGATAGATTAGAAGAGATGTGGATACATAGATTAAAAAGACTGGGATAGATGGGAAGAGAATTATGGGAAAGATGTAATGCAGAGAGGCAGGAACAGTGGATAACTGAGACATATGGAAGAGACATGGCATGTGGAAATAGAACAGATGAAGAAGATAGATTAGAAGAGATGTGGATACATACATTAGAAAAGACTGGGATAGATGGGAAGAGAATTATGGGAAAGATGTAATGCAGAGAGGCAGAAACAGTGGATAACTGAGACATCTGGAAGAGACATGGCATGATGGAACTAGAACAGATGAAAGAGATAGATGGGAAAGATGTGGGAACATACATTAGAAAAGACTGGGATAGATGGAAGAGAATTATGGGAAAAGATGAATGCAGATTAAAAGAGATGTGGACAACATTAGTGGATAACTGAGATGGGAACAGACTGAAAGAGTAATGCAGACATGGCATGGAGACATGGAAGAACAGATGAAATAGAAAGAGAGATTAAGAAGAGATGTGGATACATACATTAGAAAAGACTGGGATAGATGGGAAGAGAATTATGGGAAGATGTAATGCAGAGAGGCAGAAACAGTGGATAACTGAGACATATGGAAGAGACATGGCATGTGGAAATAGAACAGATGAAGAGATAGATTAGAAGAGATGTGGATACATACATTAGAAAAGACTGGGATAGATGGAAGAGAATTATGGGAAAGATGTAATGCAGAGAGGCAGAAACAGTGGATAACTGAGACATATGGAAGAGACATGGCATGTGGAAATAGAACAGATGAAGAGATAGATTAGAAGAGATGTGGATACATACATTAGAAAAGACTGGGATAGATGGGAAGAGAATTATGGGAAAGATGTAATGCAGAGAGGCAGGAACAGTGGATAACTGAGACATATGGAAGAGACATGGCATGTGGAACTAGAACAGATGAAGAGATAGATTAGAAGAGATGTGGATACATACATTAGAAAAGACTGGGATAGATGGGAAGAGAATTATGGGAAAGATGTAATGCAGAGATAAGGCAGAGAACATGTGGATAACTGAAGACAGATTGGAAGAGACATGGCATGTAATGGAAATAGAACAGATGAAGAGATAGATTAGAAGAGATTGTGGATACATACATTAGAAAAGACTGGGATAGATGGGAAGAGAATTATGGGAAAGTTGTAATGCAGAGAGGCAGAAACAGTGGATAACTGAGACATCTGGAAGAGACATGGCATGTGGAAATAGAACAGATGAAGAGATAGATTAGAAGAGATGTGGATACATACATTAGAAAAGACTGGGATAGATGGGAAGAGAATTATGGGAAAGATGTAATGCAGAGAGGCAGAAACAGTGGATAACTGAGACATTTGGAAGAGACATGGCATGTGGAAATAGAACAGATGAAGAGATAGATTAAAGAGATGTGGATACATACATTAGAAAAGACTGGGATAGATGGGAAGAGAATTATGGGAAAGATGTAATGCAGAGAGGCAGAAACAGTGGATAACTGAGACATTTGGAAGAGACATGGCATGTGGAAATAGAACAGATGAAGAGATAGATTAGAAGAGATGTGGATACATACATTAGAAAAGACTGGGATAGATGGGAAAGAATTAGAATGTAAATGCAGGGAAAAACTGAGACATTTGGAAGAGACATGGCATGTGGAAATAGAACAGATGCATAGATTAAAAGAGGCATTAGAAAAGACTGGGAAGATGGGAAGAGAATTATGGAAAAGATGAGTGGATAACTGAGACATATGGAAGAGACATGGCATGTGGAAATAGAACAGATGAAGAGATAGATTAGAAGAGATGTGGATACATACATTAGAAAAGACTGGGATAGATGGGAAGAGAATTATGGGAAAGATGTAATGCAGAGAGGCAGAAACAGTGGATAACTGAGACATTTGGAAGAGACATGGCATGTGGAAATAGAACAGATGAAGAGATAGATTAGAAGAGATGTGGATACATACATTAGAAAAGACTGGGATAGATGGGAAGAGAATTATGGGAAAGATGTAATGCAGAGAGGCAGAAACAGTGGATAACTGAGACATCTGGAAGAGACATGGCATGTGGAAATAGAACAGATGAAGAGATAGATTAGAAGAGATGTGGATACATACATTAGAAAAAAGACTGGGATAGATGGGAAGAGAATTATGGGAAAGATGTAATGCAGAGAGGCAGAAACAGTGGATAACTGAGACATCTGGAAGAGACATGGCATGTGGAAATAGAACAGATGAAGAGATAGATTAGAAGAGATGTGGATACATACATTAGAAAAGACTGGGATAGATGGGAAGAGAATTATGGGAAAGATGTAATGCAGAGAGGCAGAAACAGTGGATAACTGAGACATTTGGAAGAGACATGGCATGTGGAAATAGAACAGATGAAGAGATAGATTAAAAGAGATGTGGATACATACATTAGAAAAGACTGGGATAGATGGGAAGAGAATTATGGGAAAGATGTAATGCAGAGAGGCAGGAACAGTGGATAACTGAGACATATGGAAGAGACATGGCATGTGGAAATAGAACAGATGAAGAGATAGATTAGAAGAGATGTGGATACATACATTAGAAAAGACTGGGATAGATGGGAAGAGAATTATGGGAAAGATGTAATGCAGAGAGGCAGAAACAGTGGATAACTGAGACATATGGAAGAGACATGGCATGTGGAAATAGAACAGATGAAGAGATAGATTAGAAGAGATGTGGATACATACATTAGAAAAGACTGGGATAGATGGGAAGAGAATTATGGGAAAGATGTAATGCAGAGAGGCAGAAACAGTGGATAACTGAGACATTTGGAAGAGACATGGCATGTGGAAATAGAACAGATGAAGAGATAGATTAGAAGAGATGTGGATACATACATTAGAAAAGACTGGGATAGATGGGAAGAGAATTATGGGAAAGGGAAAGATGTAATGAAACAGAGACTGAGCATGAACAGAAACATGGATGTGGATAGAAAAGATGAGATAGATAGATTGGAAGAGACATGGATACATACATTAGGAAATAGGATAGATGAAGAGATATGGGGAAAAGACTAAGATGGGGAGAGATTAATGCAGAAGCAGACAGTGGATAACTGAGACATCTGGAAGAGACATGGCATGTGGAAAAGAACAGATGAAGGATAGATGGAAAGATGTGGACATTAGAAAAGACTGGGATAGATGGAAAGATGGGAAAGATGTAATGCAGAGAGGCAGAAACAGTGGATAACTGAGACATCTGGAAGAGACATGGCATGTGGAAATAGAACAGATGAAGAGATAGATTAGAAGAGATGTGGATACATACATTAGAAAAGACTGGGATAGATGGGAAGAGAATTATGGAAAGATGTAATGCAGAGAGGCAGAAACAGTGGATAACTGAGACATCTGGAAGAGACATGGCATGTGGAAATAGAACAGATGAAGAGATAGATTATGAAAGAGATGTGGATACACATTGAAAAGACTGGGATAGATGGGAAGAGAATTATGGGAAAGATGTAATGCAGAGAGGCAGAAACAGTGGATAACTGAGACATCTGGAAGAGACATGGCATGTGGAAATAGAACAGATGAAGAGATAGATTAGAAGAGATGTGGATACATACATTAGAAAAGACTGGGATAGATGGGAAGAGAATTATGGGAAAGATGTAATGCAGAGAGGCAGAAACAGTGGATAACTGAGACATTTGGAAGAGACATGGCATGTGGAAATAGAACAGATGAAGAGATAGATTAGAAGAGATGTGGATACATACATTAGGAAAAGACTGGGATAGATGGGAAGAGAATTATGGGATAGGGGAAGATGTAATGCAGAGAGGCAGAAACAGTGGATAACTGAGACATTTGGAAGAGACATGGCATGTGGAAATAGAACAGATGAAGAGATAGATTAGAAGAGATGTGGATACATACATTAGAAAAGACTGGGATAGATGGGAAGAGAATTATGGGAAAGATGTAATGCAGAGAGGCAGAAACAGTGGATAACTGAGACATCTGGAAGAGACATGGCATGTGGAAATAGAACAGATGAAGAGATAGATTAGAAGATGATGGATACATACATTAGAAAAGACTGGGATAGATGGGAAGAGAATTATGGGAAAGATGTAATGCAGAGAGGCAGAAACAGTGGATAACTGAGACATCTGGAAGAGACATGGCATGTGGAAATAGAACAGATGAAGAGATAGATTAGAAAGAGATGGATACATACATTAGAAAAGACTGGGATAGATGGGGAAGATGGGAGATGTAATGCAGAAGGCAGAAACAGTGGATAACTGAGACATTTGGAAGAGACATGGCATAACTGAACAGATGAAGACATATGGAAGAGACATGGCATGTGGAACTATGGGAAGAGAACAGATGAAGAGATAGATTAGAAGAGATGTGGATACATACATTAGAAAAAGATGAAGGGATTAGATGGGAAGAGAATTGGGATAGATGGGGGAAATGGGAAAGATGTAATGCAGAGAGGCAGAAACAGTGGATAACTGAGACATATGGAAGAGACATGGCATGTGGAAATAGAACAGATGAAGAGATAGATTAGAAGAGATGTGGATACATGCATTAGAAAAGACTGGGATAGATGGGAAGAGAATTATGGGAAAGATGTAATGCAGAGAGGCAGAAACAGTGGATAACTGAGACATTTGGAAGAGACATGGCATGTGGAAATAGAACAGATGAAGAGATAGAGAGATTTGGAAGAGATGAAGAGAATTATGGGGATACATACATTAGAAAAGACTGGGATAGATGGGAAGAGAATTATGGGAAAGATGTAATGCAGAGAGGCAGAAACAGTGGATAACTGAGACATTTGGAAGAGACATGGCATGTGGAAATAGAACAGATGAAGAGATAGATTAGAAGAGATGTGGATACATACATTAGAAAAGACTGGGATAGATGGGAAGAGAATTATGGGAAAGATGTAATGCAGAGAGGCAGAAACAGTGGATAACTGAGACATCTGGAAGAGACATGGCATGTGGAAATAGAACAGATGAAGAGATAGATTAGAAGAGATGTGGATACATACATTAGAAAAGACTGGGATAGATGGGAAGAGAATTATGGGAAAGATGTAATGCAGAGAGGCAGGAACAGTGGATAACTGAGACATATGGAAGAGACATGGCATGTGAAATAGAACAGATGAAGAGATAGATTAGAAGAGATGTGGATACATACATTAGAAAAGACTGGGATAGATGGGAAGAGAATTATGGGAAAGATGTAATGTAATGCAGAGAGGCAGAAACAGTGGATAACTGAGACATCTGGAAGAGACATGGCATGTGGAAATAGAACAGATGAAGAGATAGATTAGAAAGAGATGTGGATACATACATTAGAAAAGACTGGGATAGATGGGAAGAGAATTATGGGAAAGATGTAATGCAGAGAGGCAGAAACAGTGGATAACTGAGACATCTGGAAGAGACATGGCATGTGGAAATAGAACAGATGAAGAGATAGATTAGAAGAGATGTGGATACATACATTAGAAAAGACTGGGATAGATGGGAAGAGAATTATGGGGAAAGATGTAATGCAGAAACAGTGGAGAGGCAGAAGAACAGTGGATAACTGAGACAAATAGAAAAGAAGAGACATGGCATGATGGGAAGAAATAGAACAGAGATAGAAGAGATAGATTAGAAAAAGACATGGATGGAAATAGAATACAGATTAGAATTAGATTAAAAGACTGGGATAGATGGGAAGAGAATTATAGGGAAAGTTGTAATGCAGAGAGGAGGCAAACAGTGGATAACTGAGACATTTGGAAGAGACATGGCATGTGGAAATAGAACAGATGAAGAGATAGAATTAGAAGAGATGTGGATACATACATTAGAAAAGACTAGGATAGATGGGAAGAGAATTATGGGAAAGATGTAATGCAGAGAGGCAGGAACAGTGGATAACTGAGACATTTGGAAGAGACATGGCATGTGGAAATAGAACAGATGAAGAGATAGTGGAAAGAAGAGATGTGGATACATACATTAGAAAAGACTGGGATAGATGGGAAGAGAATTATGGGAAAGATGAAAATGCAGAGAGGCAGAAACAGTGGATAACTGAGACATTTGGAAGAGACATGGCATGTGGGAAATAGAACAGATGAAGAGATAGATTAGAAGAGATGTGGATACATACATTAGAAAAGACTGGGATAGATGGGAAGAGAATTATGGGAAAGATGTAATGCAGAGAGGCAGGAACAGTGGATAACTGAGACATCTGGAAGAGACATGGCATGTGGAAATAGAACAGATGAAGAGATAGATAGAAAAAGAGATGTGGATACATACATTAGAAAAGACTGGGATAGATGGGAAGAGAATTATGGGAAAGATGAAATGCAGAGAGGCAGAAACAGTGGATAACTGAGACAAATGGAAGAGACATGGCAGTGGAAATAGAACAGATGAAGAGATAGATTAGAAAGAGATGTGGATACATACATTAGAAAAGAACTGGGATAGATGGGAAGAATTATGGGAAAGATGTAATGCAGAGAGGCAGGAACAGTGGATAACTGAGACATCTGGAAGAGACATGGCATGTGGAAATAGAACAGATGAAGAGATAGATTAGAAGAGATGTGGATACATACATTAGAAAAAGACTGGGATAGATGGAAGAGAATTATGGGAAAGATGTAATGCAGAGAGGCAGGAACAGTGGATAACTGAGACATTTGGAAGAGACATGGCACCCCTAGTGGAAATAGAACAGATGAAGAGATAGATTAGAAGAGATGTGGAGAACATACATTAGAAAAGACTGGGATAGATGGGAAGAGAATTATGGGAAAGATGAAATGCAGAGAGGCAGAGAACAGGCTGTGGATAATGAGACATTTGGAAGAGACATGGCATGTGGAAATAGAACAGATGAAGAGATAGATTAGATGGAAGAGATGTGGATAGATAGAATTAGAAAAGAGTGGAAATAGATGGGAAGAGAATTATGGGAAAGATGTACCCCAGAGAGAAATAGAAAACAGTGGATAACTGAGATGGGAGTGGAAATATGGAAAGAGACATGGCATGTGGAAATAGAACAGCATATGGAAGAGAGAAATGGAATTACCCCTAGATGAAAATAGAACAGGATACATACATTAGAAAAAGACAGGGGATAGATGGGAAGAGAATTATGGGAAACCCCTAGTAATGCAGAGAGGCAGAACAGTGGATAACTGAGACATAGGAAGAGACATGGCATGTGGAAATAGAACAGATGAAGAGATAGATGGAAAGAGATGTGGATACATACATTGGAAAAGAACTGGGATAGATGGGAAGAGAAATGGGAAAGAGGTAATGCAGAGTGGAAATAGAACAGGATACTTAGAGTGGAAAGAGAAAACCTAGAGTGGAGAACAGGCTAGACATCTGGAAATAGAACAGACATTACCCCATAGTGGAAATAGAACAGATGAAGAGAAATAGAACATTAGAAGATGGATGTGGAAATAGAACCCTACATTAGAAAAGAACACTGGGATAGATGGGAACAAAGCTAGAATTATGTGGAAAGATGAACAGGCAGAGAGGAAATAAACAGTGGATAGTGGAAATGAGACATTTGGAATAGAACATGGCATGTGGAAATAGAACAGATGAGAGAGAAAGAGAACAGGAGATGTGGAGAACATACATTAGGGAAAAGAACAGGATAGATGGGAGGAAATATGGAACAATTGTACCCCAGAGAGGAAATAGAACGGTGGATAACTGAGTGGAAATGGAAGAGAACATGGCATAGAGTGGAAATAGAACAGATGAAGAGGGAAATAGAAAAGAGTGGAAATGTGGATACATACATTGGAAAAGAACAGGGATAGATGGAAATAGAACAGGGAAACCTCTAGATGGAATGCAGAACAGGGAAACCCTAGAGTGGATAGAACAGGAGACAGAGTGGAAATAGAACATGGCTATAGAGTGGAAATAGAACAGATGAAGAGTGGATGGAACAGGAAGAGATGTGGAAATAGAACATACCCCTAGAGTGGAAAAAGAACAGGGGATAGATGGAAAGAGAAACTACCCCTAGGGAAAAGATGTAATGCACCCTAGAGTGGAAATAGAACAGTGGACCCCTAGAGTGGAATGAAAAGAGACAGAGTGAAATAGAACAGGCTACCCCTAGAGTGGAAATAGAACAGGATAGGGGGAAATAGAACAGGATTAGAGAGGAAATAGAACAGGCTACCCATAGAGTGGAAAAAGAACAGGCTGGGATAGATGAAATAGAACAGGCTACCCCTCAGAGTGGAAAAGAAACAGGACCCTAGATGGAAATAGAACAGGCTACCCCAGAGTGGAAATAGAACAGGCTACCCCTAGAGTGAAATAGAACAGGCTACATTTGAAAAGAGACATGGGAAATAGTGGAAATAGAACAGAACAGGCTACCTAGTGGAAATAGAACAGGCTACCCCTAGAGTGGAAATAGAACAGGTGGATAGAGGGAAATAGAACAGGCTGGGATAGATGGAAATAGAACAGGCTACCCTAGGGTGGAAATAGAACAGGCTACCCCTAGAGTGGAAATAGAACAGTCTACCCCAGAGTGGAGAACACCCCTAGAGAGTGGAAATAGAACAGGCTACCTCTAGAGTGGAAATAGAACAGGCTACCCCTAGAGTGGAAATAGAACAGGCTACCCCTAGAGTGGAAATAGAACAGGCTACCCCTAGAGGAAAAAGAACAGGCTAGAAACAGTACATGGCTAAAGGAAATAGAACAGGCTACCCCTAGAGTGGAAATAGAACAGTGGAAATACCCCTAGAGACAAATAGAACAGACCCTAGATATGGAAATAGAACAGGCTACCCCTAGATTGGAAATAGAACAGGCTACCCTCAGAGTGAAATAGAACAGGTACCCCTAGAGTGGAAATAGAACAGGGACTCTAGAGTGGAAATAGAAATCTCCAGAGGAAATAGAACAGGCTACCCCTAGAGTGGAAATAGAACAGTCTACCCTAGAGTGGAAATAGAAAACCCCAGAAATAAGGCCCCTAGAGTGGAAAGAGAACAGGCTACCCATAGAGTGGAAATAGAACAGGCTACCCCTAGAGTGGAAATAGAACAGGCTACCCCTAGAGTGAAATAGAACAACAGTGGAAATAGAACGGGCAGGCTAGAGGAAATAGAAGAAATAGAGGAAATGGATACCTACCCCTAGAGTGGAAATAGATTTTCTACCCCTAGAGTGGAAATGGAACAGGCTACCTAGAGGGAAAAGAACAGGCTACCCCTAGAGTGGAAATAGAACAGGCTACCCTCTAGAGTGGAAATAGAACAGGCTAATAGAGTGAAATAGAATTTGGAAGAATGGAAATAGAACAGGCTAGAATTCCCCAGAGTCCTAGAGGGAAATAGAACAGCTAACAGTCTAGAGTGAAATAGAACAGGCTACCCTAGAGTGGAAATAGAACAGGCTACCCCAGAGTGGAAATAGAACAGGGATAGAGTGGAAATAGAAAACCCCTAGAGTGGAAATATGTAACCCTAGAGTGGAAATAGAACAGGGTACCCCTGAGTGGAAATAGAACAGGCTACCCTAGAGTGGAAATAGAACAGGATACCCTAGAGGAAATAGAACAAATAGAACATTTACCCCAGAGTGGAAATAGAACAATACCCCAGAGTGGAAAAGAACAGGCTACCCCTAGAGTGAAATAGAACAGACTACCCCAGGAGTGGAAATAGAAACAGGCTACCCCTAGAGTGGAAATAGAACAGGCTACCCCTAGAGTGGAAATAGAACAGGCTACCCCTAGAGAAATAGAACAGTCTACCCCTCGAGTGGAAATAGAACAGGCTACCCTAGAGGGAAATAGAACAGGCTACCCCTAGAGTGGAAATAGAACAGGCTACCCTAGAGTGGAAATAGAACAGGCTACCCCTAGAGTGGAAATAGAACAGGCTACCCCTAGAGTGGAAATAGAACAGGCTACCCCTAGAGTGGAAATAGAACAGGCCACCCTAGAGTGGAATCACAGAACAGGCTACCCCTAGAGTGGAAATAGAACAGGCTACCTTTAGAGTGGAAATAGAACAGGCTACCCTAGGAGGAAATAGAACCTCTAGAGTGGAAATAGAACAGGCTACCCCTAGAGTGGAAACAGAACAGGCTACCCCTAGAGTGGAAATAGAACAGGCTACCCTAGAATGGAAATAGAACAGGCTACCCTAGAGTGGAAATAGAACAGGCTACCTCTAGAGTGGAAATAGAACAGGCTACCCCTAGAGTGGAAATAGAACAGGCTACCCCTAGAGTGGAAATAGAACAGGCTACCCCTAGAGTGGAAATAGAACAGTCTACCCCTAGAGTGGAAATAGAACAGGCTACCCCTAGAGTGGAAATAGAACAGGACCCTAGAGTGGAAATAGAACAGGCTACCCCTAGAGTGGAAATAGAACAGGCTACCCCTAGAGTGTAAATAGAACGGGCTACCCTAGAGTGTAAATAGAACGGGCTACCCCTAGAGTGGAAATAGAACAGGCTACCCTAGAGTGGAAATAGAACAGGCTACCCCTAGAGTGGAAATAGAACAGTCTACCCCTAGAGTGGAAATAGAACAGGCTACCCCTAGAGTGGAAATAGAACAGGCTACAACACCCCAGAGTGGAAATAGAACAGG